CTCTCCACTAATGATTAAATGGTCAAGAAACGTAACTGTATTTGCTTGAGGATGAGTTGTTTTTTAAGATTAGGTAAGATACAGCTATTGAGCAGAATTTGCAAACTGAGGTTGATCTTCAGTTTTCCAATGTGAAGATCTAATTAGATCCTCTGTTATATGATGTATTATGACAGGAAGATCTTGATAACTTTAAGACTTGACTGTGAGGTGGGCAAAAAGGCAGAGGCAAAAAGCACAGATAGAAAAAAAGATCTCGTTTTCAGACTTTAAAATACACTTTCTTTATCACTTGGGTTTATATTTATGGTATATTGGCATGCCTAGGTATACTAGACACAGTAATTAAGAGAAAGCATTTGAGTCTTTTGGTGAAGAAGCTTAGTGGTGTTTTGTACTGAATTAAGCTGTTTGTTAATAAGCATTTGAGACTTGTGGCTGACTTTTGAGTTTACAGGTGATCATTGCCTAAGGACAAACTGCTGAATCTTGCTTTGTTGTGACGAAAAAAATTGGTTTCTTTCAAGCAAAACGAGTATGTTCTTTAAGCGAGGACTTCAGTTTCAAAGACAGCACAGCTTGCTAGAAGGCTTAAAATGTAATGTTTTCAGGCACTGATGGTTTTAGTTGATGTTAAGAACTTGGGTTATTCTAGAATAAATTTACTAGGACATTATCTCTTTGGATTTGTAGTTCACTTGAAAGTATTAATTCAAATCCTGAACGTACTTGACTATGCTGTTTCATATAATTTTTGATGAAAAAACTGAGCATACAGGTAGCTATGAAAAAGCTACTGAAAGCATTACTGAACCAATGCAATACAGTGAGAGCAACGCTTATTCAGTTGCCTTTAGAGAAAAGGAATTAGTGGAGCCATGATTAATTTCTTGGCTACATTAATATTGTTCACTGGCTCTATGAGCTGCAGCAGCAAGAACTCGTAATAAATGGATGCTCTTGATGTAAAATAAATAAATGCATAAATTTACTGTGCTTTGAAAGCAAACTTGTGTTACTTGATTGCAACTTAGTGTTCAGAGCTATACCTTCCAATTCAGCTTAGGGAAGAGAGGGAATAGAATGTTAAGGAAGCATATTTTCTTTCCAGTTTGTGATCTGTGTTTAAGGATATAAATCCACTCTGTGCACTATGTGGTATTTTTTGTTTTCCTATTAATGCAGTTGTATCATGCAAGTCAGACCTGTTCCAGGTAATGAGCGACAGCGGGCTCAGCACTGAAGCTATTTTGTAGTGACTGGCCCAGGAGAAGAAACTGCAGATTGGAGTTGCTTTTTCCATCTGCAAATGTTAAGCTTCACTTACTATTTCAACTACAGATCAAAAATAGAGAAAATGCTACTACTTGGAAATTGCAAATAGGACACAACCTTACTAAACCTTTTGCATTAATCCATAGGCTAGCTAGAAGTTGAAATTCTTCAGCAACAGCATGTTCTCCTACAGTCTCTTTTTTACTGAAGCAAAATTGCAATCTCCAATATTTTTAGTCAAGGAGATTTTAGTTCTGTTTGTTGGAGGTAACTAAATTAATCATAATATTGTCCTGAAATACACAAATGTACCCTTTGTGGTCTTAATTTTTTTAATACGACAATTTCTCAATACAAATTCCTGTTTGCAAGGTGAATAACCATTACTATTTTCAAAAGCTTGTCCACCGTTCATGTGCTTATACTTTGTCATAAATGGTATTATTTTTATTTTACTTCATCCAAGAGCATGTTAAGTGATAGTACAAATAACAGGATATAGACTGTGCCCAGAGGTGCTTACACAGTAAAACTGATAGCACAGTATGGGCAAGGATGGGTAGAAAAGCAGGGTGGATCTTGGCACATTCTGTAGTTACTTAATCAAAGCCTAATATGCTGTACAGAGTTATAACATCTTACGGATGTTTGAAAGTGTTTTTCTTAAACTTTTCTTCCATGTGTGCCTTTAGAAATAGCTCTTAATATAAGAAAGAAGAGAGAGATGGGGATAAATTCAGAATTGTATCATAAAATCTGATAAAGGAACCATAAGCTTGAATGAGGATCTCAATTAAATAACTGACTTGCCCGAGACAGTTTTCAAAGTAACAAGAAGTTAGAAACTCAAATTCAAACCTTATTTTCTAGGCCTTTATGAGGATTAAAAATAATTCACTGGGCAAGAGCGAGTAGCATTCTGAAAGGATGGCATGAATCACTCTAATTATTTGAACAATCACATGCACTCTTGCATAGAGAGGGAGAATGTCTTAGGCCTGGATATTGTTGTTATTATAAAAGAGTACAGATGAGAATGGATACAGCATGAAAAAAGAGCAGTTCATGATTTCCCATGCAAATTCATTAGAAGCTTTAGAGGGAATAACTGGGAAGAGTGAGTAGTTTACTGCTGTGATCTGTTTAGTGGCAGAGAATGCCTGGTGCAGTGCTTTCCATAGCTTGATTAGGGTTCATATTATTGAGACTTCTAAGTGAATCTACCTATAAGGTATTTCACTAAAATGCCAGTTCTTCATGTTCCTAAAGTGGGTTTGAGTTTCCCTAAAGTAAAAGGTGCCAGATAAGATACAGAACATAGCTACTTTTCACAAGAGCTTGATTCTGTTTTTTTTCCTAATTCTTAAACCTTTCACTGAGACTACAGGTAGCTGAAACACCTCTGCAGTCACAGGAATTAATATATTTGCATTTAGAGTTTTATTATTTATTTGTGATTATACTAAATTCTTTTAACAAGCGTTACTTGGAGAAAATTAATACAGAACATGGAAATACTTCTTTCCTGGCCTATTGTTTTAAAATTGCTGTCATTAGTAACTTTGCATGATGCATCTGAGTAACTGCAAATACTATAACTGAGTAATTTGGAATCCCTGAGATTTATAGACAAGGTCTAAACTTCTTTTTTTCCTTCGTTTTTCTAGTTTTCAAATAGAGGTGTTAAAATGACACTGAATTTGCTTCTGGTAATCTGTGACAGTGGCCAGCTTGACACAAGTACCAAAATGCTTAATGATCTGAGTTGCTGTGGTACTTTATATAAACTCAGGATTGTTTCCACTTAATTTCTATTTTATAGTTGTGATACAAGTCCTAATTGTCATCATAGCTTTCTGCTCTTTCTCGGGAGCGATTTCTGAATTCACTGAATTTGAAGATGCTAGAGCCTAGCAACACATGCCTGCAGTGCGACTCGTAGGCTGTGAAACCGACTGAAGTAGTTTGTGTTAGCACTGTTACACGCAGAACTTTTAAGCTTTGTTTCTTTCTGAAACAAAACAGTGTTGTTGAGGGTATCATGGAATAGGAAGTTGTGACTATCTTAAAGCATAACCTAGTAAAAGTTGGTAGGAGTATGAAAAGAGAAAGGCTAATGAGTATAAAGACAAGTGATACTTTACTATGCACTCACTGCATGACAGTGCATAGAGAAGGGTTGGTTTTGATCAGAGGCACTCAGTTGTTGTGGTGGTCATAACCCATATCCTTTGAGAAAATTTCTTAGTAAGCTCTTTGTATCTTCACAGTTGCCCTTGATCTCAGGAAAAAAGGAGAGAATTTTTGTCTAACTCAGATATTTGATGGCTGCAAACTTCTGTTTACTCTGAATTCTAGGCTTCTGCTTGAAAGTGTTAAACTAATTTCAAGCTTCTAACAACAAGAAAGTAATCCACTTTTAGTTGATGTAGGTAGTCTTTGGCTTTACAAGGGTTTAATTTGTTGATACAAATCAAGCCTTTTGTTGTTCAAACAAAGTAACATTTCTGAATTGGCTCATGGAAATATTAATGATCAGAAATGCAGCTTTTATCTTCTGGGGTGATATTCTTTATGCACATGCACTGGACCATTAAAGCCTAGGGAACAAGGTAACAACTTTATCGATATTTAAGACGCTTCCTCCCCTTTTCTCTAATAAAAGCCTACCTTTTTATTGCTGTCTCCACCCCCTCTCACTTCCAAAATAACTGTACATTGTCAGAGACTTTCAGGTTTCTGTCATTTTGCACCTTCTTAAAGTGCCAGTGACTTGTTGGTGATGGTTCTGTAGCTGAGCAAGCACTTACTGTAACGATAGCAGCCTGCAGCCCGAGAACTCCTGTGTACACAAAATAAGACCAGTTAGTAGCATTTGGAAGAAATGGCAGTGGTAATGGGTGAATCTGGAAATCCACTATTGTAAAAGTTTAGACTTTCTTTTAGCTGGGTAGCCCCAGTCGTAAGCAGACAGTTTAACTGAAATTGGCTATCTCTGTGTGGAACTGAGAGGAAGGGTTTTCATACGGGCTGAAATATCCAGCTACAGTTAGAGGTGTGAAGCCATCTCTTGTACTTTTTCCAGTGATTTGTATCTCTGAAGGGCTCTAACCAGGCTTTCAGGTCCCATCTTAGTAACAGAATGTTTGCTAAACAGCTTGTCAGCCATGTGTAGCTTTAAATACAGGCAGTAGAGGAAACAGTATTCACTTCTTATCCTACCTACAGCTGAATGCCAGAAGCATCTTTCTCACTAAAGAGATACTATTATCTCACTAAAGAGATACTATTAAATCTATTACAAGACTGACACAAACCTTGAAGCTCAACTTAGCAATTTTCAAATCAGTTAGGATACCTATGCACAAAAGATAAACGGAGTTTTTAAGTACTTCAGCATAGAGAGTAAATTTCTTATTAAATAAAAACACTTTTTAAAATCAATATTATTTCCAGGTGCAGCTGATTACTCCTGCAATAGTTGTTACATCAGTTTGTTGCTTTTTAAGTGCTCTTATGTTTGTTAATATTGAGCTTTATGGCCAGCCTCATTTAAGAACAAATCAGACAGAAAATGTGGTAGTTTCTTAGTTAATGGTACAGCTCTGATACTGAGTTAATGGGTAAAATGAAACAGAAAATTACTACTAATTTAAAGTGCAACACTCTATATCAGACAAAACCCATTTGACTTAAACCTTTTCTCTTACTTTCTTTTTCAATAGAAACTATGTTCCAACTTCCTGTCAACAACCTTGGCAGTTTAAGAAAGGCCCGGAAAACTGTGAAAAAAATACTTAGTGACATTGGTTTGGAATACTGTAAAGAACATATAGAAGTAAGTATGATGCCTCCCAAGTGTTGTCGTAGGTAACTCCAAAGTTAGTGGCACTGTGAGGTCTTTGGTATATGACATTATTTTTTTTTAGACTTGTTTCACAAAATGTTAAATTTACTGTGAATTTTGAAGGAATCCTCTGTATCCTGTTCCCACACCATACCCCTCTGTTTTCATCAGCTTCTGGGAATGATTCTGGGATTCCATTTGAGCCTTGTTCAGGTGTTGGTACCTCTGCATTGTTTTTTCAGCTCTACACAAAGTGGGACTTAAGTAATAACTTGAGCTAAAAATGTACCTGTAAACACTTTAGAAAGTTTAGTGGAGACAAGATACACTGCAGGCTGTATGTGACTGATGATATGTATTGAAGATAGGTTGATCTTTCATTGGATTCTTAAAAATAGCATTTGCTGACTGAACATTTAGGTATGAAGCAAGAACTCGGTATGGTAAAGGATGTTCTTGGGGGACAGAAGGTAGCTCTGAGGTTCTCATGAAGTGCTTGTCAGTGCTAACAGTGGGTCATCAAGTTAAAGAATCACCTATGTACCTGTTTTAGTTCCTAGGAGGGAAGGGCATTGGTGGTACTTTTCTGGACAAACTTCATAACTAGCATCTCAAAAGTGCAGCTTTCTCTCCTGAAGACTAACTTCTGTACTGCCAATTCACACACTTTAACTTTGGAATACCCAGCAAATTATGACTTTTTTGCTTTGGCCTTTCTGTTGGTGTCTCTTCAAAGAGCATTGAAGTGAGATTCGTAAGAGAAAGGAAATGTCAGTCTTCTTACTTGTAAAATTTGTGGAGCAAGTCTAATTTTTAAGGGTAGAATTCTGAACAGGGACAATGTTACTTTCAATATTCATTTCAGTGGAAATACTGTTTCTGAGTCCTTATGTGCTGCTGATATGAAATGGCATATAAGGTGAAATGCTAAAGTACTTAAGATTATTTTTTTAATAAGAATTGGGCTTATTTAATAAGAAATTGGACATCATACATGTAGTCAAACTTTTAAAGTTATATTTGAATTCCTGTGTGAAATTGAAGTAATTAAAAAAAAAAACCCAATAAACAATCAAACAAAAAACACCTCTACCTACCCAAAAAAAAGCCTCAAACAAACATCAGTTATGGTGAAGCATCTGTACAACCGTAAGCATTTAGCACTAGCCCTGGAATACTTTCTTGATAACCGCTTTCGACAGTGGGGCAAGTATGAGATTACAGTCTTGGGTTAATTAGGAAGATGAGTACTGAGATAGTTCTTTAGGTGTTTATGATATTGAGACTCCTCCCAACTCTTCATTCCCAAAAGGTGCATCTTAAATACCCACACTTTTTTGAATTAATAATGCCTACTGTTTGCCAGCAGCACTTGAGAGGACTGCGTGGATGCTTTCAAGAGTTGCTTAAGGGAGCAGTTGATCTTTGGTTTTGATTCTCTGTACTCTCTCCCCATCTTCCCCTTCTCCAGGATTTTAAGCAGTTTGAACCTAATGACTTTTATTTGAAAAACACTACATGGGAAGATGTAGGATTGTGGGACCCATCGCTTACAAAAAATCAGGTTAGTAATAGTTTCTGTTGACACATCTGATTCTGAAGCTGGTTCATACTGAAGGGCGTTTCACAAATACGCCACAAGCTCTTCCTGCAGTTTTACCCACTGATCTTCATTTTGTTGTCGGTGTAAGGAACATCAAAAAGTGGCATTTGAAATTTTTTTTTAAACAAAAGTAAGAATCTTGGTCTTTATCTTAGTAGCTTGGATAGCCAAATACTGGAGAACTGATTGGTAGAGAAATCTTGCCACCTTTTAAACAACTGCATATTAAGAGCACATCTGGTTTCAAGCTTAGCACAATTTCACCATCCTTCCAGTCAAAAGATCAACAGTTTTATACAGTCCATGATAAGTTTTTTTACCTTTCCTTAAATGTTTCATCATCTGTTTTCATCATTTATTTAAATGAACACATCTAACTACTGCTCTCTCCCCTATAGTTGTAGCTCTGTTAGCATCTGCCACATCTGAAGATCCTCATATCTGACTGTGTCTGAGATTTGGTTTAGGCATATGTAGTTCTATGTGGCAGAATGAAGGGGCCTTGGAAGTCTTGATTTTCAGATGTTTGTGAGCCAGTAATAAAGGAAATTTGAATTGAGCTAGCAGTGGAAGGAGGAAATAGTTCTTGATTCTGATTAAACACATTTAAGGCAAGTCATGTGCACTGCAGTAGCCTCTACCAGCATTGACAGAACAGTGAGGTGAGAAATCTCTCTACAGAATAAGTCTTCTTTTAGCATCTGAAAGATCAGATATTGCTCTTTCAGGAAATGGGAACATTATGATGATGGATTCCTAGTGTAGTGTTAATCTAAAAATGACCCTTTATTACTGTGTTCCACAAATACACCGATTTGTCCTTTTTTCTAGTTAATTCCAGAATTAAAAATGTAATATAAAAGGAGACAGCTTTTGTTTAGTTTGGTTTTTTTGTATCTTATCTCCAGCCTACCAGATATCTGAGGCTTCAGAAGGTGGACAGCAGCATGTATTCCTACTTATGCAGAGGGAGAGTACAACTCTCCAGCTGCTTCAAATTATCTGTGTGTAGCTTGATGTACAAGACTTGTTTTGACACTCATGATGAATGTTTTGTAACTCTCTGAATTTAATGTCTTATCTCATCTGAAATTCCAGATTGCTGGTGGCTATCTCTAAGGCCAGTGTAGCTTTAGTTTCTGTTACAACAGTTGACAAGAACTGCATCGGCAACATGTTAAATATGACAAAGATAAAAGGTGCAGGGGAGCTGCGAGTGTGGAATTTTCAAATACCTTTTTTCTGATTCAAGATTGTTTAAAAGTCAGGTTTGTGCTTTGATCAGAAGGAAAAGGCTTGATGGCTTTAAGGGCTTGTGTAGCCTCAGTATATGACTTGGTAAACTTAAATCCATTTGCTCACCAAAAATAAGTTATATTAGAGATGCTCTTTGAAAAAGTTTGTAGATTGAGACACTGAAATAGCTAAAGTTATATATCCATCTTACATTTATAAATGTTTGGCAGATGTTGATAGGAAGTAACTTCTAGACAGAGTCATTCTACTCAGTCATGGTTGCCTTTTCCCTCTGGAAATGAGCTTATGGTGAACTTCTTCATCCAGCTCAACTGCAGGAAATGAGGCATTTTTTACTGGTGTAGAAAGATGCTTATGATTTAGCCTTGCATGCTGAGTTTAAGGTTAAACTCTTGAGGCATCTTTACATTTATATTTGCTGCATCACATGTATGTTCAGATGATAAACTTCTAGGACCTGATTTGCAGGTCAAAAATGGTAGAGAAGAAATTAAGGTTTGATACTGTCGCAGTGGGTCTTGAGACTGTTACTATTTAGAAACATCATTGTTCAGAGGAGATCATGGATGTTGTTTTTCTAAAAACTGCTTTTCAGTTATTTAGTTTCTGCTTTCTTCTTTGTTTTAAGGACTATCGGACAAAGCCCTTTTGCTGCAGTGCATGTCCATTTTCCTCAAAGTTCTTTTCAGCGTACAAAAGCCACTTCCGGAATGTTCATAGTGAAGACTTTGAAAACAGGATTCTCCTTAATTGTCCTTACTGTACTTTCAATGCGGACAAAAAGACTTTGGAAACGCACATTAAAATATTTCATGCTCCAAATGCCAATACACCGAGTGGAGGCATCAGCACTTTTAAAGATAAAAACAAACATGATAGCCTTAAACCTAAGCAGGCTGACAGTGTAGAACAAGCGGTTTATTACTGTAAGAAGTGCACTTACCGAGATCCTCTGTACGAAATAGTTAGAAAGCACATCTACAGGGAACATTTTCAGCATGTTGCTGCTCCTTACATAGCGAAGGGAGGTGAGAAGTCACTCAATGGTGCAGTTGCATTAAGTTCTAGTACCCGAGAGGAGGGTAGTATTCACTGCAAAAGATGCCTTTTTATGCCGAAATCGTATGAAGCTTTAGTACAGCATGTTATTGAAGACCACGAACGTATAGGATATCAGGTAACAGCAATGATAGGTCACACCAATGTAGTGGTTCCAAGATCTAAACCTTTGATGCTAATAGCTCCAAAACCACAGGATAAAAAGCCTATGGGACTCCCTCAGAGGATGGGCCCTCTTTCCCCTGGCAGCGTTCGATCTCTTTCATCACAGCAGATGATGAACAGACTCACTATACCAAAGCCTACGTTAAATTCTGCAGGAGTGAATATGATGTCAAATGTTCACCTGCAGCAAAACAATTATGGAGTCAAATCGGTACCACCAAGTTATGTTGGTCAGCCAGGGGGAAGGCTAAACTTAAGTGGTAATGCACCAGTTTCTATTTCACAACAATCACAATCAATGAAACAGTTCTCAGCAAGTGGAAATGGAAGGCCTTATACTCTTGGAGGGGAACAGAGATCACAGGCCTCAGCAAGATACTCTCTTCAGTCTGCCAATTCATCTTCTCTTTCATCAGCTCAGTTGAAGCAGACGTCATTATCTCAGTCACAGGCAGCTTCAAGAGCATTAGGTCAGTCTGGCTCAAAATCTCCTGTAGCTGCTACAGGTCCTTCTGCTGTCAATACATCATCCACACAGAAGTGGAAAATCTGTACAATCTGTAATGAGCTGTTTCCTGAAAATGTGTATAGTGTCCACTTTGAAAAGGAGCACAAGGCTGAAAAGGTGCCTGCAGTAGCTAACTATATAATGAAAATACACAATTTCACTAGCAAATGTCTATACTGTAATCGGTATTTACCCACTGATACATTGCTTAATCATATGTTAATACATGGTCTGTCTTGTCCGTATTGCCGTTCAACCTTCAATGATGTTGAAAAGATGGCTGCTCATATGCGAATGGTTCACGTTGATGAAGAAATGGGACCTAAAACTGATTCCACGCTAACCTTTGATTTGACATTGCAGCAGGGTAGTCACACGAATATACATCTTCTTGTAACGACCTACAACCTGAGAGATGCTCCTGCT